AATGTGGGTGAATATACATATATATATATATATATATATATATTTATGTTGATGCATACATTTTTTGATTTAGACACTGTTGATTTGAAATCATAGATAACTTCTTTATAATGAATACAACGTCAAACATGTTCTAATTTAAAACAATAATGCTGATGCACTTCTGGGTATTTGTGTAACTTTAATTCCACATATGTTGACATTGTACAATACGAAATCTTGAATGTGAGCCACAGCTTTCAACAAGCGATAAATATGGTGTAATCATAGCCAAGGGTATTTCAATTTCACATCACGAGCATTGTACAAGATGGAATGATGCTATAGGTGTGTAGCGAGCTTGCATGCATATTCTTATCACATTAAACACTCCACACACCTCCCACACCCATCAGTGGCTCGTTGAGGATCCACAACATGGCTGAAAAGTGCACTCATTTATTTTTCGAGCCTCTGCCTGTCCTCTCATATCCTTCGCACTTACAGAACCTGAAGTGGGGCTAATCAACACATCTGTGCACTTGTCTTCCCCTCTTGACACCTCATAGGAAACGCAGTGTGGGTAGGGGATAAAAGTTAAACCTCGATAAATCAAATTAAAGTCAGAAGGCCAACCATAATAATAAGAAATATGGAGTAATTATTAATCTATATAAAAAAAAAAGGTTTGCGTTGTAAAGAAACAACAAAAAGAAAGGTAAATAGATTGATACACATTCCAGTTCCTGATATTATCGCATCCACCTTTGGAAGACGCCATGTGAACCATATTCCCAAAGTGATCAAAAATGTATCAAAAAATTATTTTGTAAAAATAGAGGCCACAAAAGGGATATTCATTCATTCTTTGTCTTCTATGCATTCATTTGTTCCTTATTTTTTTACGTTTCAAGTGGAAGCAAATCAAACAAGGAGCTTTCCAAAACTCCCACCTTTCTACTTTGGTTTCTACTATCTCCTAGTTGCCAATTATAATATAACTAATTCTCATCTGTAAAAATATATACCAATAATGATTCCTCAATCACGCTATATGGGAAGAAACGTCAGTGTGGATCCAGCAGCACACAACACACACGCCGGGTGCCCGCCGGCCTCCGCGACGGCGACATCCTCTATAACAGCGTTGCTGAGATGAAGCGTCCGTGGAGCGGAGGCCGCGCGAACGCCGTCGACGAGATCGCCCGCGGCGGGGAGGCCGGGCAGAAAAAGGAGCCCGCCACCGCCAACGAGCACCGCCGCAGGCTCGCCCAGCCGGTGAAAGACGTGCACCTTTGCGATAGCGTCGACGCCGACAGCGGGGCTCCGCTCGAGGCGTCCGCGCCGGATCGCTGTCGGGGCTCCGTACACCGACGTGAAATCCTCATAGCCATCCGTGTTTAGGATCGCGGACTGGACATGGATGGTTGGCCGGGCGTGGTCGGGGTCCTGTGCCCTACCCCGAAGGGAAACGGATGGGGAGACATAGGGATACAGCGTCTGTTGGGTGAGAACGACGCTCCCGGCAACGGCCCACCACCCAACACGCCACGCACCGCGAGCGGGTTCCGCCGCAGCCCCCAGTGGCGACTTCGCGAGGCTGCTGCCGCCCATCTCCCTCCCAGGAATCGAGTAGGGCTGGTGGGTGGCGTGTCGGCATCCCACCATCATCAAATCCATCCGCCCTGACTTCGGGTTGAAGAAAAGCGACGCGTCGTTGACTGTCAAGCTGAGGTCGTGTCTACATCCCGGTTTTGTCCAGTTTCCCACCGCCGTCGAGCCATCCGCGCACTGGTAGGCATTGAAAGACTGAAGAGAGAGGCGGTAGTCAAACTTGACGTGCGGCAGCGTCGTCTGAGGCGCAGCATTGGGGGAATGAGAACCCGAGAATCGGGAGGTCTCCCCCAGAAGCTCATTCACCATCACGGTGGACCGAGATGCGGCGTGCTGAAGAGCCTGGTGGTATTCCAGCAGTAGGGGGAACGACCCCCCGCAGACGCGGCGCTCGATATAGCGAACCGTCGAGTCCGCCAGCACGATCACCGCCGCGACATCGATAGCAAACGCCGCGTGTGCGCGCTGCGGAACCAACACGCGCACAATCTCGCTCACCTCATCACCACACAGAGAAGAAGGGGCTCCGATGTGGCTCGCGCTCGCGGTGTTTGAAAAAGTAACGCACAGCGGCTCGCTGCGATCCCGTTGAACAGTGGACGGCCACCGCCACACAGCCCCGGCGGTAAACGGCGCTTGAGCACGGGTTATAGCATGCGTAGCTCGATTCTCGGTGTCACAACCCTCGGGAATAATTGTATCACTTACATTGGGTGATTCTGATTCATCAACAAGATCTAGCACGTCAAGAAGGACCATACATCTATCAGTGGCTGCTACAACGAATTCGGGCCGCCCAGCAGGGTCCATGCTGATCGCCACATCCTTTACAATATCGTCAGCGCTGATGCGCCCCTCACTGCATGGACCCAGTGAACGCTCATTCAGTAAAGAAAGAACGCTTCCCTCCATAAGAAAGACGCACAGCGTTCCATGAGTTGTGCCAGCAACTCCAAAGGCGGAGATTCCCTCTGGTAACGCACACACCGCAAGCGATGCCACCTGGCCTGTCTGAAGGATCAGCTTTGAGCATCTGAGGCCGGATTGATCCGCCGACGCATCGTTCCCACGACATTCGTGCCCGTTCTCCTTGCACAACTGTAGAGCGGCAAGGTACTCTTCAATAGCTTCCATGCCTGTGGCAGGGGCATTTGCACCTGCAGCAATCATTGGGAAGGCTTCGACGCCGTGTTCACTCACACCACCCTGCGTCCATTCACATCCCCGCTGCTCCACCCCTTGCCCACCGCGGCTTTCCGCGATCTCGACCACCTCTCGGAGCCGCATCGCTCGTATTGCGCTTCCTCCTGCGGTCACCACCACATGATCCCCGCCTTTAGCGAAGGCTACGCACTGAAGGCACGCGATTGGCGCCGCGAGGTGCGTCGCGCGCTCCAAAACCTGCGCCGACGCGCCAAGTCGATCTACTGTAAAGTCCCGAGCCGAGATTACCATTGGCGTTGTTCAATGCAATGCGCCCTGTGACAGACCGAAAAGAGTTGGGACACTCAAATTGGCCTTTGGAGGTAGGATAAACTGCAACACCCTTTTTTAGATGGACATAGTGAAGAACAAGAACAGGAAAAAAAAGACATAAAGACGCACCACAACCGGACATCACCTGAATCCGTACCTTCTGCTGAAGCAGCAAAAGATCTCGTCAGTATTGGCATATCGTCATATCAATGACTCATTTCTTTATTTAGAATAATATTATCACTGAATTTAAATATAAACCTCTTCTAAACGAATATGCGAGCTGTATTTGCCACTAACGGGTATCGGACAAGTGGATACACATACTTAGACTTCCTTTTTAATATTCAGATTGAGTAACACTTTTTAGTTTTTCATCGTCTCTTTGTTTATTGTTTTTAATTTCCCACCATTACACTTCACTCAGTTGTTTGCCCGAGATTGATAGCAAAGCTCCCCTCGTTATTTGGGTAATCTTGTTATTGGGACCTTTGGGTTCTATTAAGAAAAACTCAAAGTAATCTGTTCTCTGATAAGTAACTATTTTATTTAGTTATTCACTAATTTATTTATTATTAGAGTTCAAACAGGGTTCTTATAGATCGCTGAAACACCTCAAAAATAACAATATACCAACACCTAGCGTGTAACCATTCTACCAGTACATCTTTCCTCTTGGCAAGCTGGTACGACCATTGATGCTTTACTTAAAGGTGCGTCCCTCCAGAATTGGAAGGGGAAATGTAAGACCATCCCAACAGAGGTAATCCGTAATCGTCTCCTTTTCAGCATTGATGTCCGTAATCGGTACCCAGTCAAACAGCTCAGTATCGGCAACCTCCTCAACGACCTGAGGGATACCCTGCCCACGGAAGACCCAGAACCCCACGATATCATGTTTGGATTCTTCACCCATAATTAACGCGACGCCAAAGACGTACTTCCGGAGGTGCTCCATCCGCTGGAACCACCCACGGATGAGATTGGCCGTCATGAATTGTCTTTTATTTTCTTCGTTGTACTTATAGCGGCACCAAAAGCAAGAGTAGCCGCTCGCGTCGAACTTGTCGAAGAAGTACGGCGCGGCCACGGTGCGGGTGTCGGTATTGCTGTATTCCCGTTTGAAGGCGTCCAAAACAAAGGAGCTCGGTGGCAGCATGTCGAGTGGGTTCGCCACCTTCTTTTCTTTCGGCACCTCCTCCTCCTCTTCCTCGTCGTCGTCTTTCTTGGCAGCGGGTTTCGGCGCACTCTTCGCAGGTTTCTGCTTCTTGTCCACCGGTTTCTCGGATTTAAAGGGTGCGGAAGAGGTACCCAACTCTCTGAAGAATTCGACCATCTTTGGATGCTGTACAATCGTGTTGTACAAGCGGAAAACGTTCTTGTATTTCTTCGACATCTCCTCACCAAGGCTGCCGCTCACACGGTAAATAAAGCGCAGGGAAAAGGCAATAATGACGTCGGCCGCTGTCATGCGCTCGCCCACCAGAAAGGTTCGGTTCTCCAGGCATTTATCCAGGTTCCCCATGACTTCTTCCAGTTTACAGCTCGTATCTTCAGGAACCGGTATATTCCGTAAAAAGTTCAGAAAGTAGGAAATCCCGAGCAAGTCCAACTCAGTGGTGGAAAAGTCGAGCCACATGTCGACTTGGCTATTTTCAAATGGCGTGCGCCCGTAAAGGTGATTGCCGCTCTTGTCGAGACGCGCAATATGGCGAGCGATGGCGTTGGATTCAAAAATGAAGCCCTCTTCCGTTTGCAAGACTGGGTAGCGCCCGCAGGGGTGGCAGTTTTTGGCAAAAAACTCGGTTTCGTTTTCCTTACTCATCTCACACTCATGATGATCAACGGTAACGTTTGCGAACGACGCCAGAGCCAAAACCTTGAGGGTGCGGTTGTTCTCTAGGTTCTTGACATACCAAAGAGTCGGATTGGTCATTGCTTTCTTGAGGAAAAATATGATTTTCTTTAGGTAATTATATATTCTTGGTGAACTTGATAAGTAAAATGCTAGATGAGTCCGTATTCCAAAGAGCAACCGCAATTAAGTGGGTAATATAGGTGGCAATAATTAAGAAAAGAGAGCGGGATATGGATAGTGTGAAGCATCATTAGACAGAAATTCGATTCTCATTAAAATATTCAGTATAAGATACCACGAGATCAGATGGAATGAAGATTTATAGAGTGTAGTACCCGAACACTCTTCAACGACAACGACACTATAGATACGTATTTGTTCTCAAAACGTACTGAAATGAATTGGTAGATATCTTTTTCTCGACATCTCTACTATTAAGTTCATAGCAGTACACGATAGTGTGATGAGGGATAAATTTCCCAATAAAACTCAAATCGTTGCAATAATCCACCTTCTTACGTTAATACAATTAATCCAACAAGCAAAGAACTCGGAAATCTATAGCGAAAATATGAAAATGTAATAAATAGTTAATACAATAACCAACGTAAATCAAAATTATAGTTAGTAAATAATTAAACGGTGAAAGAAAAAGCTGATGTAATGATATTACGATCTAAAATAAGAAAAAGTTTCCTTTCAAGCGAGCAGCCAGTTCTATGCATATGTAAGCGACACCAATAACGACGCTGAAAAAAGGCCAGAACTATTTAATTCTCACCAGGCACTCGAAGTGTCACCCTACACACGTGATATTTCCTCCTCACCATTGAGCCTCACTAACTTCCTTGCTCGCAGCCCAACACATATTCTCTTTCTTTGCTGCATAAACCTATGATAGGTCAAACACAGGTGAAATGTATAAAAAGAATGAAACTTTATTTTGTTTCCTTTTTATATTGAGGTTTTCTTATTCAAAGTATATCGTGCGTTTGGCTCGACTCCCTCACAACATTCATATGATTGATCAGTATAAAGCCCGTGTTTGTGATGAAATGCCTTATTTTTCAACCAACGGTACCTTCTACGGTTCTTCACCTTCTGTGAACTTTTCAAAAAGTCTAAAATTGCACTGGGAGGACTATAGAAGAAACTAATGCAGTATCAGGTACCACAACTTGAATTGTTATTTTCCTTTGCCTTTTTAGACCATATTTGATGAATTTGTGGTCGCCAGTGAGGCCGGTGTGAATGAAGGAGCATTGACATTCATGCCCTTCATGACATGAATTGCTTGGTCATTCCTACCGCACGGAATAAACGGTTTAGCGTTGAAGTTAAACGAGCTCTGCGCAGCCAGATCTTTCTGCGCATCGTGCTCAAATTGGAGGCCTGACTTGGGCCCTGATAAAGCCACGTTCGGATGGTTATTGGGAGCCAAAGCAGGGTGTGAATCCATCAGGGTGTTGTTTTCGGAGTGAGACCACACCGACGGACTGTTTTCATCTGTTGATGATACCTGAACGGTTTTGTATGTGAACACAGTACGATGGAGTCCAGGGGGGTATCGAGGTTTTGCCTGAGCGTCTGAATCACTAAATTGCGGCAGATTCACACCCACGTTATCGCCCCGTAGGATCCCTTGCCAAGGATGTACATTAACGGCGGTGGGGTTCATCTCATCACCCGAATCGAAAGCAACAAATGACCAGGTGTTGTGCTTGCTGTTGGTACCACTTTTAAGGGAGACCTTCTCCTCAGCCGCGCTGGGGGGTTGCCGTGGCGAGGGCGATGTCACCCCCACAATTGCCCTTTTAAAACTTTCCTGCATCCCTATCAGCGTCTGGCGCTCCTGCGAGGTGATGTTAACGGTGGCCGGGGGCACCGCGGCGGTCCAGCTCAGGAGACGTTCCTTAAAGTTCTCGAGCAGGGAAACCAAATTCTCATTCAAAGGAAATGTGCAAGGGATCGGAGGTGCGGTGTCCGTTGTTTTCGGCGGCGTGCACTTCGCAACGAACGGCGTGGCATAAGGATTCATCGGCGTCGTCTGGGGGGCGCACGGCGGCGGCGTGGTCAAATTTGCCCACGTCGCCTGACCCACAAACGTCGACAGGGCGGTTGGTGGGATCCAGAAGGCCGCCGCGGCGGGGTTGAGCGACGAACCCCCGCGATTCTCCCCCTGCGTAATAAAAAGAGTCTTCTGAGGCTGGTTGTGGGGGATACTACCAGAAAAAGGACTGGCCAAAGAGGATAACCCGTGCGCCACAAGGCCCACTCCCCCACCACACTTCCCGGCTGCAAGTTGCTTCTGATCGTGTAGGAGCTGTTGGCGGTACTCCGTGTTTAGCCGCTGCTGGCGGATTTGATTAATCAAAACTAGAATCACCTGTTGGGCGTATTGCCGCTGTTTCAGTTTGACGTTATCCCGCGCGCTATTACTCGCATCCGGACTGGGGACTTCCGGATCCGGGTCCCCACCCCTCCCAGCCGTAGACGCCGGCGGGAATTTAATCACGCGCGTGTGCTTAATGAGCTCATAAAGAACCTCTAAGATCGTTGGTGTTATGTCATCTCGCTGGCAAAGTTGGATCACACGATTGTACAGCAACATCTCGGGATTGTTCCTCTCGGCATTGACATCCTCGCTTGTTGCTCCGGCTTTCACGTTCGCCTCCTCTTTTGGGGGGAGTCCGTTGCCTTCTGGGGCATTTTCAAGAGGTGATTTATTGTTGGTAAGGAGTGCCTGGTGCTCCATAGAGCCATCCGCCTTTTCAGGTGCTGCCCCGCTCCAGCAATAATCTAACAAAAGCTTACTGATCTCCTCATGGATATCATTCACGTTTCCTTGCGTTTGTGGCGCTCTCGCCCCTTCGTTCTGAAGTAAGACGTCGCTTGGGTTAGTATCGGTAGCGGCCCTAGGAAATTCGCTTGGCTTGCCCTCACCATGTGGCTTATTTCGCTGTGCGCGGAGTTCTTGAATCAAAGGGTCAACTTTCACTGCGGTAATGCAGGCTTCGTTCGAAGCCCCTTTGAGTGGCTTTGGTGATGCTTTGACACGCTTTTGGACAGCTCCCTTCTTTACCACGGTGCCGGATGCGTTGGTGGACTTTGTCTTCTTGACTATGGCATTAGTTATAGGGGCAGCCAGCGCTGCTTCTAGTCTATCATTATGTAGTAGAGTTTTCGCGTCCTTCGTTTGTTGAATAGTATGGAGTTCAGTAGGTGGCACATTCGTTTTATTATCATTAATGATCTCTGAGGGTTTGGTTGACATTTTCTCGTCCCCCTCTTCAATGGATTCCTTAGCGATGGCATAACTGGCTTCCTTTTGCACGCTCAGCCCGCCCTCACGAGGTATTATCCCCTTTTCATTCGCCACCGGTGGGGTCGATCCCTCCACGATGACAATCACCCGCTTCGCCCCGTCCATCTTGGTCGGCGATGTTATCATTCCCTCCTTCTCTACAGTTTCTCCCACCCTCGATCCTCTCCGAAGTCTCGCGAGTAAATCCCCTGTGGTTTGGAGTTTGCTCCGCCGTACAACTTTGGTGGTCTTCAGGGGAGGTTGTCTCAGGGGGTCGTCCGTCCCCTCGCGGTGCCGCTGCATGGAATCCCAGAATGACATGTCAGCCGGCCTGTAGGGATACAATGCCAACTTCTTTTTTTTTTCTCCACCACCTCAGGGTCGGCCTCTTTTTTCTCGCTCGCACCCGCGGCCTCGGGAGCTGAGCTGACGTCGTTTGGATCGCAGGCCGCACGCACGCAATCATTAGCGGATTTGGGCTCACCCTTGGAGGCGTCTTCAGATAGCTGGGGTTCGGCATCAAGAGAGCCATTCAATTCTTTCGCTTCAACGGGCGACTCAATCACTTCAGCTTTTGCATCTATGGTATTCGTATCGAGCAAGCTTAATAATGTATTGTCCTTGTCCTGATCGTCCTCAAGCTCATGCCCAGGGGTAGAATCCATTGCACTGAGGGCGGGCGCTTGATCCTCTTGAATTTTAGCCCCCATTGCTTCGGACTTTGTGCTGGCACCTTCATTGTTACAATCTGCTTCTCTGTGGAGATGATCATGACTAGTAGGGTTTTCCATCATGAGCTTGAAAATAAAAGAGAAAGGAAGGAAAGTGTGACAGATAAAAGTGTCTGCTTACATTCTCTCATAACTCAGGGTCATTTGCATGAGTAAAAAATATTATGGAAAAAATATTAGACATCATGATCTTTACTAAATCATTAATATATATAAATCTATATATATATATATATACATTACCATATTCATATTATATATTTATTCTATTTGAAGGAGGATAAAGCTCACCAAGTACTTGGTTGTAATATCATATGTCTACGATGTGTCTTCAAACTCTACCTTAAATTGTCGTTGAGGGGAAAAAAATATATACTGTTTGTTTTCCGTAAGTATTATACAAATGTGACTCTCAGAGTGCAGTGTAGACGCATTATGAAGAAATATAAAAAAGATTTACTCAGAGCAGAGTAAAGGTGACATATAAAGCAATATGCACAATATGTGTGATTCTAATGACGAAAATATATCAAAATGAGTATATATATATATATATATATATAA